CCTCTATCGGTGTGTCTCTCTTTGTGTCTCCTATCTTCTGATAGCGTTCTTTCAGAGTGTCAGCCTAATAGAGAGAAAATGTAAAAATATATAATAAAATAAGACTGCAAATGTTTTAAAATTAAAATAAAGAATAAAAAGCTAGAAGAGAGTAATTTTTTTTAGATTTACAGCACCAAACAAACTGAAGTGTGTTATTAAAAATACACTAAATTGATAAAAGTTAGAAGTCAAAATGTTTCTCTAAATGTAACTTTTTTTGTTGGCTCCTGAAATCCAAATTAGAAACAAGTAAAACATGCAGGGCTGCAGCCCTCGATGCCCACCCCTGGTGTAAAGTTAATGATGAACATGACTATGCTTCCAAAATAAATCATAACATGAATTTAATGAAGTGAAGAAGATCTTAAGGGAGAAACAGATTTGGTTCTAGACACCATTCCTGGCAAGGCTCTGTGTCTTCTATGAAGGTGAAATGCGGGTTTATAACAACGACAGAGGCAACCAAATGCATGGCAGAGAGAGGATTCAAGGTAGAAGTCACTGAGCCTGCAGGTGACCTGACGGAGAAGAAACGATGGCAGATGTGGCATTGAGTTGAAGATTTGGATAAGCAGGACAAGACGACACCTTTCAAATATAAAGAGAAACTGAAGGCTTCTCAAAGAACCAGCAAGAATGACCTGTGATGAACAAAGTACGTAGATAGCAAGTTGTAAGGGTGCATACAGGGCATCTAATGTGACAAACCCAGCTAGAAACAAACTTCCAACAGTAAGTAAGAGTATTCTTTCTCCTCTGTAAAAATATGATTGGGACTGATTTTCTTGAAGGTTCTGGACAATATGGAAAGGGTCAATTTAGGTCAGGAGGGCCCCCTGCCCAGGGGCTATCCCTTAGAGCTAGGGATTTGTTTGGAAAAGGTAAAGTTTTGGACCTCTGATTTGGAAGTTTTTATAATTATGGTTCAATTGCATTACTTTATTGTTGTTTTATTTGTTCTTGTTCTGTTTTTTTGTTGTATTTTTTCTGTTGCAGCAAATAGTGTGGTAGGGACAGGGAGGGGCTGCAGGGGTCGGGTGCAATGTGCAACGGGCAGTGGTCGAGGGCCCTGCCGTCTGATCCTTCCAAGGAGCACAAGAAAGTGGAGCTAGCTATTCCTAATAAACAAGCTGACTGTGAAGAAATGTTCAGTTGTCTACTTAAATGGCAAAACAAGCTGAAGAACAGCGGAAAGCTCTGTTTAATATTTTTCTCACATTCCATAAAGCTAAACATGCATGTCCCATGTCTTCATATCTGAGGATATTACTTTACTGAAGCGATGAGGAGGGGGCACAAGGATCATACAGAGCATCGCTCAGTTCTATTCACAAAAAGGTGAAGAAAAAATGCTGTACTGAAGAAGAAAATGGAATCTCCTTTGTGACACTGAGTAAGTTTCATAATGTCGGATGGTCTGCATGGAGACATGATGAAACCCTGTTAAAAATTTCAAGACTGTTACCAGCCATTGAAAAGCAACCATCAAGTGATGACACTGACTTGCAACATATTTGCACAGGTTTCAGTGCTTTCTGTCAAACATGCTTGACATTGGCAACATTTTGAAGACCACATCCATTAGGTTTCAGAAATAAAAGCTGGCCATTGGAGAATGTAAGGATGAAGTCTTGGTGGCTCTTGGAAAGTTCACACTTCTGCTTCATGGTGAAGGGCACAAACCATTTCTAATGCTGATGCTGACAGAGACAAAACAAACTTACTCAGGGGGTTAACTGAAGAGTTTGAAATCAGATACGACTCCCTCAAGTCATGTTATGATGATGATTTCTTGATATTTGATCCTTCAATATGGCCTCAGAAAATGCAAGACCTCCACAGTTTTAGAAAAACTACAGTTAGCAGCATGAAATATGAGGCTGCTTGCAACTTGAAACCACTGTGACAGAATGGATGCACTTAAAGCAGACAGGAAAACACATGGAAGCCTCTTCTGTGAACGATTTGGTCCAACTAATAAATACAAGTAGCCCAGATGCTTACTTAATCATCAAGAAGTTGGTTAAGTTGTGTCACTACCTTTAAGCAGTGCAGATTGTGAGGAGGTATTCCCACATCTCAACGTAATAAAAAAAAAAGGACAGATCTTGTCTGTCACATGCTCGTCTTTCAGCCCTGATGCACATTCACATATCAAAGCTGACCACAGAGACAGAGCTATTTCCTCCCACAAATTTGTTGCCCGCTGAAAGTCTTTAGATTGCTTCATTGACAAATAAGTTTTCTAATCTCCTCCATGAGACACTCTTCAAATCTTGACTTCTTTTCATCCACAAATGACACAGATTCTCAACGTTATCTGCTTGGTGTTGCATCCAAAACAGTTCGATATAAACTCGCCGGGCAGTTTATTGTGTGACACCATGAACATGGACGTAAAAAACTGATCTCTGTGCGGACCAGTCCAGCGGCCTCTTTGAGCCCGCATTGAGTCCACGCGGACCTCTGCAGAGTGGGGTACTCCCGACTATGTGGGGACACCATTAAGAAGGACAATCTCTCTCTATCTGGGCTAAGGCTGGCTTCCGAAGGCGTCTTCTTCGAACCACTGTGAGTCAGACAGTTTCCAGCATATCAACTAAAACCCTGAATCTGTAACTGGTGAGTTAAACTGTAAATGTTGTGTTCCCTTTCGCTATTTAATCGTGCAGTTCTTTGCTTTTACTGAATGAAAGCCTACAGTGAATGGCGTTAGCATAAGTGCTAGCTACTGTTAGCCTGGTAGTTTAGAATATTATTTGCAGCTAAGTCTTAGATTTAAAGAAATATTTTGCCTATGGTTAGTAGCCACATGCTGGCAAAACTTTATAAATGTCTTAATTTAACTGTCTCAATTCTGAGTAAGCTCAGAATAATAAACAATCCTCTTCTCAACTACGTGCTAAAATATGTTGTTTACATCATGGCAGGATTAAGACGAGCAGCGCAGAGGGGCTATAAAAGCATCCGGTTTGTTTAAATAAAAAATATGCTTAAAAGGTTTTAAGAGGCAGTTTATTTTTGTTTAACATTTATTTAAAATGACTGCAGCTGTATGAAACCCTCCAGTTCATCTCTAAAAGTTACTAGCAAACTAGCATCCAGTGAATTTTATGTTTAGAATAAGGGGGAGAAACCGTCTATTCACAATACTTTTATAATATTATTACAATTCTGAGGGGCTTATGAACATTTTACTTCCAGAACGGTTGACATTTATGATTTTGCATGTGTGTGTCTTCGTGGAAAGACGAGGTAGTTGATGTCAGTAGTAGCCATTAGCCACTGATAAACAATTGTCCTTGCCGCTTTTTAAAACATCCTTCCAGTATATAAACCTCTGATATGTGGCCATCTACGCCAAATTTAGATGAAAAATGATTTGATAAACAGCGATGGTGTATCCTCGTAATTGTAAACAACAGCCAAGCGGAAATATGGAACCCGCTTTCGCTATGAATTATGGGTAGAGGCCCGAAATCGGGAATACTGTCGATTTATATACATACATACAAAAAATAAACAGGTTCACTCTGTGATTAAGATGCACTTTTCATTCGTCCTGTCAGTTTTGCATCTGGACTCAGTGAAAAACTTCCTAGGAAAGAGGAAATCTCTGATTTATTAGACTTTATAACTGAAGTTTTTCAAAACATTAACATTTTTACTCTTTTTATCTGAAACTCTATACACTACGTCCATCTCTTTTTAAAGGGTTGGGTAATAAAAATTTTAGTCATTTATGATTTAATTGTTATTTCATTCAATGTTTCTTACAATGTTTTGACTTAAAGTCAATTAAACAAAATGTTTTGTGTTTTCTACTCTGTGCCTAAATTCTCTACAAGTTCTGTTATTGGACTGATTTAGAATGAATGTAACTGCATTTTGATCTGATTGTTTCGACTGCAGTTATTGCACTTTGAAATGATCTGGATTCGTTTGCATTTCAGTTTGTGCTCTGAGATGAACTGCCTCTACATAATAAACTGAACTGAAACACACGTTTGGTTGACGTTCTCCTCACCTTTAGTCCCTGCCATGGCAGGCTGCCTCGTAGAAAGTACATAAACATGTGGCCTAAAGCTTCCAGGTCATCCCGTCTGCTCTGCTCTAAAATGAAAGAGCAAAAACAATGCAATAAAAATCAACCAAATCAAAGTAAAGGCCCTACTGTACTGTTCTAGACAACTTGTGCCAATTTATGAATTTTTTTGTTTAAATTACAAAAAGAAGTTATATATTTAATCAATTTGTTAGCATTACAGTATGTGCATACCTAAAAGAGGCTTCCAGTCTAATTTTTTATTCCACCTTTAACGTGGATGTCTTTAAAATTTTCATATGATGGCATAAATTGTCTAAAACGTTATTGTGTGACAGGGCTTTTAATGAATAATGATTCTTTTTTGTTTATGTCAAATTGTTTGCAAAACCTACAGAAGTTAGGCATTTTATGTTGTATAATTATACAAACACCACAAATTCTAGTGAAAGACTGCTGAACCATGTCTTAAGGAAGTATCTTCTTAGGCTGTGATTGTTGGAGAACAGCTGCTGACTCAAAATTGCAAGAAAATAAGGACATTTTTTGTAGCAGTCTCACTGAACACTGAATGTCTGCAGCCAAGCGAGAACTGCTGCTGTGTTTCGCACAGCCACTTTTTGAAAATTACTTATTTTTGTGTGCAGCCTGCAAAAACTGTGTTCCAACCCGTGCAAATGACTTTGTTGCCCACCTTCACCCACATCTCTTTCACTATGGCAGCCACTCCCATGTGTATGAGTTATACTACCTGAAGAACATGTTAGAAATACAGGTAGAACAAAAAGTCTCCATGTCCCGTAATAAAGCTAGCAGTATGAACAAAGCATTCTGCTCTACACCCTGCGCACGCACACACACACACACACACACAC